CATTTTTTCTTTACTTGTTTTATATGTATCATTTTTGCATAATAACTTGTTTATGCAGATTTTACATGTATACTAACGTACGTACTTGATAAACAAAAAGAAATACTAGTAATGTTTTTCAGGAAGGAAACATTTTACCTCTTAGTAACTATAGTAACAAAATTCACCAATCACAAAAATCTTGTAACGAAACCTTTCGTAATGATGTGACGGTAACTTAGATGCCGTAATGAAGCGTGCCAGACTCGGTTGTAATTCTGAAGTTTATCCCATGATTCATTAGTATGCTCCAAGGCTTATAATGGTAGAATTAAAATTATAATATTTATAATAACATTGATCTTATTGTTATTATAACATTTAATATATATAACATATAATATTTCATACATATTTAAATAATAATATACAATATTTAAAATGTATAACATAGCTTAGAATAAGGATAGCGGGAATTTTCGCTTGGTTAATACCACTGTCTATTTTTGTAAGTCGCCACCACCCCCCAATGGCACAGCGGTATGTCTGCTGACTTACAACGCTAGAAATCGGGTTTCGATACCCGTGGTGGGCAGAGCACAGATAGCTCATTGTGTGGCTTTGTGCTTAATTACTAACAAACAAACTTTTTAAAATAAAAGAATAGTTGATTGAGTTTTATCAGAACATTGAAGAGATTATTGAATGTTTGTGCTAAGACCAATGCCAAACCCCTCGAGTATTTAATAGTAGCAAAAGTAATTGTATTGAATCATCTTATTCACATTGGGCACTTAGTGTTAAGAATGTATAAAAATAATTATCAATTAATAAAATAATGAAAATTATAATAACAAAATAAATTAAAATAGTTACGCATAATAAATAAGCGAGTAAGTGGCTGCTGCTGACCGGTTTCCTTCTTTTGATCGGTGTTTCGGAATTGGGGATGGCACCACTCTAGCTGGTTGGCACATGACAACGTGCTGCGATGGGACTCCGTTATTAAAGAGAGGAGAACCTGTGTACTGGCATTAAATAATCAATTAATTAAAATCGAATATTTATGTGATATACAACTTACCGGGAGGAATTTTTTTCTTCTTTATATAACTCAATTAATAAGCATGAATTTACTACACAATTAGATTTGGATTTAAATTACACTTATACCAACTGCTAAATTCCAGGTATAAGCACAACTATCTAGGTTTAGTACAAGTTATGTTTTAATTCAAGTACATTTAGATATTTTATAGTTTTGCTAAGTATAGTGTTATCATGTGTTTAGATATAGATGTAAATATAATGGTATTATGTGTTAGTTATGGATATAGTGTTTAGTTTTAGTATATACTTAGGTATCAGCTTGAGACAGGTACTAATCTGTTGGTAAGATTAGTTCCAGGATTAACCATCTAGAGCTTAGTTGTGTGAAACATCAGAGTGGATGAAACTCTGGACAGAGTATCAACATAGATGGACAGTCTGTAGCAGCCACGAAATATGGATTGATGCTTTTACCAAAACACTACCCAAACGCATGAAGAATTCAACTGATACATGAGAAGGCTTTGAAGCTACTCATAACATCTTGACTGTAGCGTTAGATCTGAAAGATGTCTACATTATAGTTCCACTGCTGACGAAATGCACAGAATAAGCATCAGTATAACATATAGATGGGTCATAGCTGCACTAACTAACAGAAGATGCATCAAGAAGCATGGAAGCTAGCAATCAGACCAGATCATCGTCATCAACATTGATATTCCTCAAGGGAAGCTAGCAATCAGACCAGATCATCGTCATCAACATTGATATTCCTCAAGGGAAGCTGGTAATCAAACTAGATCATCATCAACACTGGGGTGCCTCAAGGGAAGCTGGTAATCAAACTAGATCATCACCATCAACACTGGGGTGCCTCAAGAGAAGCTGGTAATAAAACTAGATCATCACCATCAACACTAGGGTGCCTCAAGAGAAGCTGGTAATCAAACTAGATCATCACCATCAACACTAGGGTGCCTCAAGAGAAGCTGGTAATCAAACTAGATCATCATCAACCGTGGGATGCCTCAAGGGAAGCTGGTAATCAAACTAGATCATCATCATCAACACTGGGGTGCCTCAGAATCACGACTCTTGACGGTCCTCTTCAACGTCTATGCCATGGATCTAGCTCACCATGATAACCCATCCCAATGTCGTGCATTAACCTTTTCTGATGAGCTTTTGTTGTACAATACAAGCTCTAACAGAGCTGAAATTGAGAGCAAGATACAGTCATCGTTTAGAAGGGCGAGTAAATGGTGTGGTGACACATTGATGAGGAAGAATCATCACCATCCTTTGCATGTACTGCTATCTTTCTGGAAGAAACGCTGAATTACCTGGGAGTGCCTTTTGTGAGCCAACTTAACCAGCCACGTTAACAACATTATAACGTGAGCTATTAAAATATCAATGCACTGAAAATTGAAGCAAGCAATGTAGCTAAAGAACATCACCTGTTTATACTCTACCAAAATCTTATCTCCCCCCATTCTGAAGATCAATATGAGTTCTACAGCTAGGTAGGACTGAAAAGATATGAAACTCCCATGCAAGTCCTATTACGCCTCACAAGACTCTAAAGCATTGTAAAACACCAACAGTGTTCACAAGAGCCATGCATTCTACCAAAAACTAGCCACTATTCTTTTCAGTTTGAGCATTCCACGATGACCATGTGTGCACCAGATAAGTAGAGGATTACCTAAAAGGTCCTTCAGAAGATATCACTGAGACCATTTGTCCCCACCAGATCTGAGAGTTACTCATGTGAAATAAACATTTGGTGCCAAAAACTCAGCACCTATTTAAAGACCGTGGTGGACAGTTATGTGTGCCCATAGACATAGATGGTCCCTACATCAAAGCTAATAATAAAGTTGTTTGGGTATTTATCATCTCGTGGAACAACAACATTTTGCGTAAGGCTGGTGGTACATCCAAACTTACCATGAGGAGCACAAGGAATGAGTTGGAAGCCATAAAACAAGCTCTTCATTGAATTGCTGAGAGCAATGAAACGCAAATATACAGTGTCGAAAACATAATATTTGAGCGTATAACCCTCAAGCTTATCGCCGAGGCAGTGGGGGCTTCATCAAGCAAGAATGGTGTAATTATTGAATCTCTGTAAATGAGAATAGAAATTTAGATGTTTTGTTATGAACGCTTTATTGAGAATGATATTTAGGTGTTGCTGTCGAACATTTTTCTTTCATAAACTTCAGTATAACCAATTAAAGAAAAGAAAAACAAACATCACGTGGTAGAGATTTTGTCCTTATCATTATAAAGTGAAAGCAAGAATTTTGTCATTGGTAAAAGTTCAAAACACCTAAACCTACTATTAGGTTTTACTTCCTTTGAAAAAGGCTCTCGCAAATCGCGCTGAGATTTCATAAAATCCTACTAGGGTTGCTGGAATATTTTCCCGCACTTACCTGTTATTTTGAGCTCAGCAACAAGATAAAATTAATTTAAGATCTTGCACAACAACTGTATGTTTTGTAAGTGATCCGCTAGATGATCTGTAACTCTTTGAAAATAGCATGCTTCTTTTCTCTCTTGCGACCGTAAAACGCTGTAGCTACAATCTCTTCTATTCATATAGGAAGGCCGGCATGGCCAGGTGGTTAGAGCGCTCGACTCGCAATCTGAGGGTCGCGGGTTCGAATCCCCGTCCCACCAAACATGCTTCCCCTTTCAGCCGTGGGGGCGTTATAATATGACGGTCAATCCACCTATTCGTTGGTAAAACAGTAGCCCAAGAGTTGGCGTTGGGTGGTGATGAATAGCTGCCTTCCCTCCAGTCTTTCACTGCTAAATTAGGGACGGCTAGCGCAGATAGCCATCGTGTAGCTTTGCGCGAAATTCAAAACAAACAAACAAACAATCATATAGCAAGGAATGCGATTCTTTGCTTGTAGTTACTACAGATGTTTGTGCTCTACTAATTAGTGAGCTTTAATTTATTAAAAGTTAGTAATATTTTCGATATGATATTTGCTCCATTTAATACTTTAAAGTTTCTTTCCGAGTGTGTGTGTGTTATGTTAAAGCCACATCAAACTATCTGAAGACTTACCACTGTCCCACCGGGGGTTTGTTTTGTTTTCGAAGTTAAGCACAAAGCTACACAATGGGCTATCTGTGCTCTGCCCACCACGGGTATCGAAACCCGGTTTCTAGCGTTGTAAGTCCGCAGACACACCGGGGGACTTCACCCTACCACAGAATTACTTAACAATTGTGTGTTTTCAGGAATTCCTAAAATATTGCAAAATCCAAAGAAATTTGCTTAATTGTTTTATTTCATGTGTACTACAACAACAACAACAACGTGAAGATGTGAAAATACGTGTAATATAGCTACTCATGGGCGTCCGCAGAAAGTTTCTAGAGGAGGGCAAAATTGTGTGAAATTGTGGAGTGAATAAAAAAAACCTGTACATTTATATACATAAGCTGAATGAATAAAGAAAGAATTATGTTTCTTATTTTTTCAGGGGGACAGGTGCCCCCCTTGCCTCCCCTGCGGACACCCGTGCAGCTACTTAAAATATAACGAAGTAGTCTATCAAGGTCATTGTGGATATAGTACTCAGAGTATTTCAAAAGAATAAATTAAAATTTAGAACATTAATGAATACAGTAAACTAGGCACATTTCCCGTATATATATATATATATATAGAAAAAATCGTCCATTCCTTTTCATTTTTCATTACCTCAGACTTACACTACTTAATTATTTGTGTGTCTATATATATATATTATGTATGTATATAAGATAGCGTTACAACAAAATTAATTCTAGGATTGGACGCTCGTTATTATTAATTTTCGGAGCACGCGTTTGCCCTTCAGCAATTTCAAATTAAAGACTACTGGTTACGAGAGTATACAGTGGCGACTTCAACGGCAGCGTCAAACATCAGCGCAGTTTGTGTCTGTGGTTACGTACGTAGAGGTTTGTTAAAGAGGGTTAACGATACGTACAGCTGCTCTTAAGGATAAGGTGTTTCGAAGCGTTCTATCATAATATATGAATTACTAACTTTTACTGGAAAAATATTAATATTTTCCTCTGTCGCTCAACATTGAAATTCGACAGATGGCTCTTCTGAAATACATAAATTGGTTGGTTTTAATTACTTATTACCAACGTAGCGGTAACGACGCAGTTTAATACTAGCGGCACTTGCCGCAGTGCAGGGCGTTAAGCTGGGCAGACGAATCCCAGTCAGTGGAATGGCGAGAACTTTTTAACTCATTTTAAGTAGTCATTTTTATATGACAGATTTAATATTCCCGAAGCATTTCCGATTGTGCATCCTCTTTCCTCTTTGGTTTAATTTTATTTTCGTCTGCGATGACGAGCTTGAAAACCGATTGCAAGAATTTCGCTCCGAATATGTTTAGCAAAACGAAATGCCAGCACTGTTTCAAAATAAAAGATGCTCATTCTGCAGAAGCACTGGAAAACAGCAGGGTAGGTAAAGATATGATTTATATATCATTGAAAAGCTTTTAATTATTTTTCTCTTCAGTCATAACTACTGACATACAAAAAATAAATAAATACTAGTAGACAGCTGAAACATTTTTATGCTACGTAATTGCAATAGCAGTACTACTACTGGTACTTCTTCAGAATCTTTTTCAGACGACTTAAGACCTTTTAAATGTGGGATATAATAATTTAATATTTGCAAGAACTTGAAGTGAAGTTAATGCAAAAATCACGCCAACTGCAAGTGTTTTCCAGTTTATATTGTACCCTCTTAAATACCTGGTTATTTAACAACATGGTGTAATATTTGTACTTTGTGTATGTAATTTACACATTTTTTTTTTAAATAAAGAAAACTGAAACTATGACTTCTCATGTGAAAGATCGTTTCAAAAGGATATTAGCGCTGCAAAAATTATTAAGTTTCACTGAAAAATAAAGAATAAATGATAGCTTAAAATCACTTAATTTCCCCGAAAGGGGGCCGGAGGCCGCCTGGAGGGGTCACCTGCTTTAACCATTCGCGCCAGGATACAGTAGTGTGTTGTCTGTCAGTCAGTCAGCAGACACTAAAATTACGTCACATAAGGGAGGTTTAAATAATTTGTACTGACGTGACGTCAGTAAAACGTTCTCATGCCATGAATTGTGCACTCCGTAGACTAGAGCACAACATGACATATGTGCTTCAAAAGCAAAAAATAAAAAACTTTTTTTACTCTTCAATTTTGTTTTATTTACTATTGAAACATAACACTTTCGAGGACCCTGCGCAAGTACATCTAGTTTATAAGTTATAACTTGGGGATGTGAGAGGATCGTGTTTCATTAGGTGTGCGTGGAGAAGTTTTAAAAAGTTTCTGAAGGTGATAGATAACCTTAATTTTCTAATATTACTAGTTTTAAAAATGGTGACTTACTCATTTAGGGTAACAAAACTTATCTATCAAATGACTGTGACTGAAACTCGTTTAATTTGCGTCTGATAAGACGCACTGAAACTTAAGTAAAACTATCAAGGAAAAAGTAAAACTAGTTTAGTCAAGCTATAATTAATAAACTTGTATTCGTGAAAGGACATAGTTAAATTAAATATTAATATTATGTATGGCGGCTTTATAATAAAAAAAATGGTTTTGTTTCTTGCTAATGCCTTATCGTACCCTAAGTGCCTTATCTTACCCTAACGCACGGATGCCGGTAAAGTTTTAGGGTTTCGAGTTATATTATAATTTACACTAGTTTTCTTGACCTTGCCCACGGGTATTGTATAAGTACCTTGATATGTTCGGTATGTTGTTTCCTCTGGTTGTCATTTCATTACGTACTTTTTTTAATCAGTTAATAAGGTTGAAAGACAAAGGCAGGAAAATTGTCTACGTCATTAAATTAAACAAGACCATGAATTTTCCTTTGAAGTTTTTTCATTAGTTATTATTCAGCTTATTTTAAATAATGAAAATATTAACATCGAATTTGTTCGGCATTTACTAGATTGAAATTGTATGATTTAAAGCCTTTGTTTGAATTTATAAATTCGGCGTTATTGTATAATCCTATGTTCGCCATTTTGTTTTAAAGAAGTGAAGCTGTGGTTGAGTAAAGAAGAAGAAAAAAGATCATGTTTAAATTAGATATATTCCACAGGTTTTAACTTCCGATTAATCACGTGGCGCTCCCTGTCACAGCAGATAGTAGGCAGGTTAGGTTTGTTATGAATTTCGCGCAAAGCTACACGAGAGCTATCTGCGCTAGCCGTCCCTAATTTAGCAGTGTGAGACTAGAGGGAAGACAGCTAGTTATCACCACCCACCGCCAACTCTTGGGCTACTCTTTTACCAACGAATAGTGGGATTGACCGTTACAATATAACGCCCCCACGGCTGAAAGGGCGAGCATGTTTGGTGTGACGGGTATGCGAACCCGCGACTTGCAGATTGCGAGTCGAGCGCCCTAACCATCTGGCCATATCGGGCCAGTAGGCAAGCCGCTTGAGATAAAGAAGCTGAAAAATTATTAAAATTAATTCTCTTTCAGTATTTAAACTTTCCTGCAAGTAATCTTTTGTTATTAACGTGAATAAAGCGTACAACTACACAAACTTTTTTCGTGATTGCTGTAGATAATATTTGTCAGATGTTATGTTACGTTCACCAATTGTCAAAATAAAAAGGCTTTAGTTATATTTCTTAATAGTATAAATACACACTATGTTGTTGTTGGGCTTAGAATTCTTCTACGGTTGGAGTCTGTGACTTGTTAACGATAATTTGAACGATAAATGAACAGCACGCACTTCACTTGTTTTCAAAATAATATATATATATATATATATATATATATT